GTACTTGGGTACCTGTGTGGGTACCACAGTGATACCTGTGTGGGTACCACAGTACTTGGGTACCTGTGTGGGTACCACAGTACTTGGGTACCTGTGTGGGTACCACAGTACTTGGGTACCTGTGTGGGTACCACAGTACTTGGGTACCTGTGTGGGTACCACAGTACTTGGGTACCTGTGTGGGTACCACAGTACTTGGGTACCTGTGTGGGTACCACAGTACTTGGGTACCTGTGTGGGTACCACAGTACTTGGGTACCTGTGTGGGTACCACAGTACTTGGGTACCTGTGTGGGTACCACAGTACTTGGGTACCTGTGTGGGTACCACAGTACTTGGGTACCTGTGTGGGTACCACAGTACTTGGGTACCTGTGTGGGTTCCACAGTACTTGGGTACCTGTGTGGGTTCCACAGTACTTGGGTACCTGTGTGGGCACCACAGTACTTGGGTACCTGTCTGGGCACCACAGTACTTGGGTACCTGTGTGGGCACCACAGTACTTGGGTACCTGTGTGGGCACCAAAGAACTTGGGTACCTGTGTGGGCACCACAGTACTTGGGTACCTGTGTGGGTACCACAGTACTTGGGTACCTGTGTGGGTACCACAGTACTTGGGTACCTGTATGGGTACCACAGTACTTGGGTACCTGTGTGGGTCCCACAGTACTCACCTAATTGTGGTTGCAGGGGTCGACACTCAGCTCCTGGTCCTGCCTCTTCACTGAGTGCTACTAGGTCCTCTCCCTGCTTCATGAGCTTTATCATACCTCATCTTAAAGCTATGTATGGTTCCTGCCTCCACTACCTCACTTGCTAGGCTATTCCACTTCCTGACTACTCTATGACTGAAGAAATACTTCCTAACAGGTACTTGGGTACCTGTGTGGGTACCACAGTAATTGGGTACCAGAGTACTTGGGTACGTGTGTGGGTACCACAGTAATTGGGTACCTGTGTGGGTACCAAAGTACTTGGGTACGTGTGTGGGTACCAAAGTACTTGGGTACGTGTGTGGGTGCTACAACACTTAGTCCGTGTTAAAAAAACATTATTTTACTGCTGTCACTGACGGTACATTAATTCCACTTTTTCCTCATAAAAAGAATTCACCACAAAATTTAAATTTAAAACGTGTGTATATATATATATAATCAATAACAACACTACGATTAGCCAAGAATTCGAACCCATGTCGTTTTGGCCTGCCTCATGGTGAGCGAAAAATCACATGTCACTCTAATCTACAGAACCACCAAATCTTACAAGAATCAAGCACCCAGCAGTGCTAGGTGTTTCACCTTGATCCGAGGACATACAGTAGTGTGGGTGCCTCTGAGCTAATTTCATTCTACTCCGCGTTTGGTGTACTAGCCTTCATAAGCAGTATTTATATCATTGTAACCACGAACGACTGGTATTAAATCAATAACACTTCGAATAGCCAAGGATACGAACCCATGTCGTTTTGGCTCTGCTGGGTGTTAGATTCTTGTAGGATTTGGTGTACCTGTCGGTTAGAGTGTCATGTGATTTTCGCTCACCATGAGGTGGGCCAAAACGACATGAGTTTGAGTCCTTGGCTAGTCGCAGTGTTTATGTATATATATATATATATATATATATATATATATATATATATATATAATATGGATGAATTTGGTAGGGTATGTAAAAGAAAAATGTATTCAGATATTTGGGAGTGGACGTGTCAGCGGATGGGTCTATGAAAGATGAGGTGAATCACAGAATTCATGAGAGAAAAAGGGTGAGCGGTGCACTTAAGAGTCTGTGGAGACAAAACTTTGTCCTTGGAAGCAAAGAGGGGAATGTATGAGAGTATAGTTTTACCAACACTCTTATATGGGTGTGAAGCGTGGGTGATGAATGTTGCAGCGAGGAGAAGGCTGGAGGCAGTGGAGATGTCATGTCTGAAGGCAATGTGTGGTGTGAATGCAGAGAATTCGTAGTTTAGAAGTTAGGAGGAGGTGCGGGATTGGCAAAACTGTTCTCCAGAGGGCTGAGGAAGGGTTGTTGAATGGTTGCGACATGTAGAGAAAAATGGAACGAAAAAGAATGACTTCAAGAGTGTATAAATTTGTAGTGGAAGGAAGGCGGGGTAGGGGTCGGCCTAGGAAAGGTTGGAGGGAGGAGGTAAAGGAGGTTTTGCGTGCGAGGGGCTTGGACTTCCAGCAAGCATGCGTGAGCGTATTTGATAGGAGTGAATGGAAATAAATGGTTTTTAATACTTGACGTGCTGTTGGAGTGTGAGCAAAGTAACATTTATGAAGGGGTTCAGGGAAAACCCGGGAGGCCGGCTTGAGTCCTGGAATGGGGAAATATAGTGCCTGCACTATGAAACAGGGGTGTTAATGTTGCATTTTAAAAATGAAGTGTAAAGCACCCTTCTGGCAAAACAGTGAGGAGTGAATGATGGTGAAAGTTTTCTTTTTCGGGCCACCCTGCCTTGGTGGGGAAATTTGGCCGATGTGTTAATAACCCAAATAAATAAACAAAATTAAATAATTATACACTATATATATATATATTTATATAATATATATATATATATATATAAATATTATATATATATATATATATATTATATTATTTTTTTTATCACACGGCCCGATTCCCACCAAGGCAGGGTTTGGGCCCCAAAAAGAAAAACTTTCACCTCATTCACTCCATCACTGTTTTGGGCCCGAAGGGTGCTTTACACTTCGTTTTTAAACTGCAACATTAACACCCCTGCTTCATAGTGCAGGCACTATACTTCCCATCTCCAGGACTCAAGTCCGGCCTGCCGGTTTTCCTGAACCCCTTCATAAATGTTACTTTGCTCACACTCCAACAGCACGTCAAGTATTAAAAACCATTTGTCTCCATTCACTTCTATCAAACACGTTCACGCATGCCTGCTGGAAGTCCAAGCCCCTCACACACAAAACCTCCTTTACCCCCTCCCTCCAACCTTTCCTAGGCCGACCCCTACCCCGCCTTCCTTCCACTACAGACTGATACACTCTTGAAGTTATTCTGTTTCGCTCCATTCTCTCTACATGTCCGAACCACCTCAACAACCCTTCCTCAGCCCTCTGGACAACAGTTTTGGTAATCCCGCACCTCCTCCTCCTAACTTCCAAACTACGAATTCTTTGCATTATATTCACACGACACATTGCCCTCAGACATGACATCTCCACTGCCTCCAGCCTTCTCGCTGCAACATTCATCACCCATGCTTCACACCCACATAAGAGCGTTGGTAAAACTATACTCTCATACATTCCCCTCTTTGCCTCCAAGGACAAAGTTCTTTGTCTCCACAGACTCCTAAGTGCACCACTCACCCTTTTCCCCTCATCAATTCTATGATTCACCTCATCTTTCATAGACCCATCCGCTGACACGTCCACTCCCAAATATCTGAATACATTCACCTCCTCCATACTCTCTCCCTCCAATCTGATATCCAATCTTTCATCACCTAATCTTTTTTTGTTATCCTCATAACCTTACTCTTTCCTGTATTCACTTTTAATTTTCTTCTTTTGCACACCCTACCAAATTCATCCACCAATCTCTGCAACTTCTCTTCAGAATCTCCCAAGAGCACGGTGTCATCAGCAAAGAGCAACTGTGACAACTCCCACTTTATGTGTGATTCTTTATCTTTTAACTCCACGCCTCTTGCCAAGACCCTCGCATTTACTTCTCTTACAACCCTATCTATAATATATATATATATATATATATATATATATATATATATATATATATATATATATATATATATATCGTGCCGAATATGTAAAACCGGTCAATTAGCAAGAACTCATTTAAAATTAAGTCCTTTCTAAAATTTTCTCTTATACGTTTAAAGATATATTTTTTTGATTAATGTTGATGTAAAAAATTATAATTTTACACCAAAAGGAACTTAGAAAACTTACCTAACCTTATTATAACAAGCGCAATTTATTTTAGCCTAACCCAACTAAATATATTTTAGATTTGTTTACAATAATTTAATACTAAAAAAACAAAGTGAAATATATTTTTTTCGTTAGGTTCAGAATGATTTTGGCGATATTATTGCATACACAAATTTTCACTTGTCCTATATGGCAAGATGAACATTGCTATTTAAGCCAAGATCGCACGTTCTGCCTATTCGGCACGATTATATATATATATATATATATAATATATATATATATATATATATATATATATATATATATATATATATATATATATATATAATGTTATGTGTGTGTGTGTGTGTGTTTTTAGCCCTAACATTTATGTTTCTTGAACTGTAATTATTTAATGATCAGAACACTTCAGCAAGATGACTTTTAGCCCATGAAGATAAGATAGAAATTATCTAGGGCGGTAATGTGATAACGGAATAAGAGGTACTCCTGAGGGTGCTGCTACAGTAGTTATTAAGGTCGCTATTGAGAGATGATATATAATAAGCAGTACCTATCTTCATAATGGAATAATGGCTGTTTTACGCTTTAAGGTTAGTCATCTGTTTGTAACAATTCACATTATAAGCAAACAAGTGACTATGGGTGAAATGTGTGTGCCTGATCTAAAATCGACAGTTGTCTCAAGGTGACGATTAGCACTGATGGAGAAGGACCAAACACCCATGTCCGGCCCATCCCTGTGTAAATTGTTTCTTGTCTGAAGGATCTGCCGGGCCACAAGCCGTGTTGGAAATTAATATATGTACACGATAGATTCATCGCTAAAATGGGACGTCAGGAGCTAAGCTCCTCTCGTGTAGCTACAAGCATATAATTCAATCTAGGTAATCACACACTAGTGTGAGAGCTGTTGTTTAAAAGAAAATCTGCGTAATTTTATTAAAGCAGCTAGATAACTATGAGCATAGCTCTGCTCCCGTAATACAAATTGGCAGTTGCACACACTGCTAGCTTAACAAGCGACTAACACCACCCATCCTCCTGCTTCTCTCCAGAACTGGCCGAGGAACTTTGTGCTGCTTGTAATAACTCTACAAGTGTTGACATTTGGTCAGAACCTCGTTGGAGCCGTATCTAGGGAGGGCGAGAGACTACACACTGTCCTGCAGGAGCTGACGACGGTATTGCAGAGCGTGAAGGACGAGCTGAGGGTTGGATTCCAGCATCTGGTGAATGAACTGCAGCAGGAGCGGATCTACAGAGAGGAAGTCATTCATGTTCTCAGGGCACAAATCGACAACAACCGTAAAGGTGAGTGCAGTCTTCCATCTCTTTCTCCTTTCTCTTTCTCTCTTCTCTCCCCTTAATAAATCTAACTAGACCCAGCGGCAAAGCATATAGCATGAGACTATAGCTTCTACAATAGCCCACACTTACCCCAGATACACAGCAGCTGCAGGGTTAGTGCCTATATTTTTTTGGGGCGAGGAACTGATAGCAATACCGAGCATAACTAAGTTTAAAAATAGGTTGGGTAAATACTTGCCTTCCAGTCTGAAGTTCACATCGCGTTGACTTTAAGCTTCGCGTAAACACAGCCTAGCCTGGGCTCAAAGGTCAGGCAGGTAACTTCGGCTCTAGATTCGAGCGCTACAAAACCTGAACTGTTCCAAAAGCTGAACCGTTTCAAGAATTGATACAAGAACTGAACCTTTATATATATTGTTAGGACTTTCACACGAGCTGAACCGTTACAAGAACGTAATCATTGAAAGAACTGAATCTTTGCAGACTGAACCATTGCAAGAATATAACCGCTACCAGAATCAATTTTCTGAGTTTATCCAGTAGGTTGGAGAACTTTAGAAGGTTTGTGAGATGCTAAGGTTTAACATTCTAGGAGATACTGCAGTTACACAAATAACTCGCACATAGAAGAGGAGCAGTTTACGACGCCGTTTCGGTCCGATTTGACCGAAACGTCGGTACGGTTCCTTTTTTCGTTATTTATACTGCAGTTACCTATCCTGTGTTGCCAGATTGGAATGGCGAGGGTCTGTTATCCATGGCCAGCTTGGAGTAGTCAGGCTCGGTTATTTATGGCCAACTTGGAGCAGTCAGGGTCGGTTATTTATGGCCAGCTTGTAGTGATCAGTCTGTAATCCATGGCCAGCTTGGAGGTGACAGGATCTGTTACTCATATTTTTTTCCCTGGCAAGCAATATATTATTATATATTCACGTGGAACACTAAATCCGTACGGTGCAAAGAAAATGAAAGATAATCAAGTTTGATCCAAGGGAAGGATAGCTCTAATTCCTAGGATGGGGAGCCCTTAACCAGCCTGCAAGCACTTCAAGGGAAGGGAACCATTCATTTAAACAAGAAACATTATCAAGGCCAACACTGATTGATCCCTGTGACTCCTCGCTGGTAACTTTTATATAAAGAAATATAGTCGGTGATACTTGTGGTACCTCGCTGGTAACAGAAACATCGTAGGTACCAACACTGATCCTTGTGGCACCTCACTGGGATTAATGAATCTCAACACGGTTTTACAAAGGGGCGTTCCTGTCTTACGAATTTACTAACTTTTTTCACTAAGGTGTTTGAGGAGGTAGATCATGGTAATGAATATGATATTGTGTATATGGACTTAAGTAAGGCTTTCGATAGAGTTCTACATCAGAGGCTATTGAGGAAACTTAAGGCACACGGAATAGGAGAAATTTTTTCCTGGGTAGAGGCATGGCTGACAAATAGTCAGCAGAGAGTTTGCATAAATGGGGAGAAATCAGAATGGGGGCACGTCACAAGCGGTGTTCCTCAGGGGTCAGTGTTGGGCCCGTTGTTGTTCACAATTTACATGGTTTAGAAAGACACGTAAGCAAACACTATAACATATTTATTAGAAAACGTTTCGGTCCTGGGACCTTGATCACTTCTAACATACAGAGGTAGAAAGACATTATATATATAGGCGGAGAGTGAGATGTGACGCACTATATATATAATGTCTTTCTACCTCTGTATGTTAGAAGTGATCAAGGTCCCAGGACCGAAACGTTTTCTAATAAATATGTTATAGTGTTTGCTTACGTGTCTTTCTAAACCAACTTGTCGGTATTTATTACCAAGGTTTATACCACAATTTACATAAACGACATAGATGAGGGAATAAATAGCGACATAAGCAAATTTGCTGATGACACCAAAATAGGCCGTCCAGTTCATTCTAATGAGGACACTAGAGCACTCCAGGATGATTTGAATAGACTGATGCAATGGTCGGAGAAGTGGCAGATGCAATTTAATATTGACAAATGCAAAGTTCTAAATGTTGGACAGGTAAATAACCATGCCACATATAAACTAAATAATGTAGAGCTTAATACTACTGATTGCGAAAAGGATTTAGGAGTTCTGGTTAGCAGTAATCTGAAACCAAGACAACAGTGCATTAGTGTTCGCAATAAAGCTAACAGAATTCTTGGCTTCATATCTAGAAGTATAAATAATAGAAGTCCTCAGGTTGTTCTTCAACTCTATATATCCTTGGTTAGGCCTCATTTAGACTATGCTGCTCAGTTCTGGTCACCGTATTACAGAATGGATATAAATACTCTGGAAAACGTACAGAGGAGGATGACAAAGATGATCCCATGTATCAGAAATCTTCCCTTTGAGGATAGACTGAGGGCCCTGAATCTGCACACTCTCGAAAGGCGTAAAATTAGGGGGGATATGATTGAGGTGTATAAATGGAAAACAGGAATAAATATAGGGGATGTAAACAGCGTGCTGAAAATTTCCAGCCAAGACAGGACTCGCAGCAATGGTTTCAAGTTGGAAAAAATCAGATTCAGAAAGGATATAGGAAAGCACTGGTTTGGTAACAGAGTTGTGGATGAGTGGAACAAACACCCGAGTACAGTTATTCAGGCTAAAACGTTGTGTAGTTTTAAAAATAGGTTAGATAAATACATGAGTGGGTGTGGGTGGGTGTGAGTTGGACCTGACTAGCTTATGCTGCTGGGTCTGGTGCAGTGCTCCATCCTTGAGTGGAGATGACCATACTGGGTGGGTCATTGGGCTAATCCGGGGGGGGGGTGTCATTGGTCTAATCCGGGGGGGGGGACATGGGCCTGCTCCGCATGGGTCAGTAGGCCTGTTGCGGTGTTCCTTCTTTCTTATGTTCTTATGTTCATACATTTATTCTCCCATCACTGATACTACGGCCCTTTCAAGTAAAAAAGAATCTCACCCACTGTTACAGATTGCTTTTTCTCCCTTATATATTCTTTAATTTTCAGAAAAGAATTAAAAAAAAATAACTTAAATGAAAGTTTCACTGAAGTCTAAAGAAAGGCAATCTGCCTATCAATTTTCTTTAATAATTTGTGACCACAGCAGTTTGACAAATTTAATATACTAGGATTTGCTGACTGAATAGAAAATTGCATCCTAAGCGCCGTTTTGTTAACTAGGTGTTTTATCTACTGTCCTCTAGTTACATTTTCCAGAATGCTTGTAACACTCGTCAGCAAGACAACCTTTGGTTGAAACTTATATATTTGTATATGTGCCTGTATAAACATATCACTGCAGCCTTAGAGAATGTGTTGTGGGAGGTAGGTAACGTGTCTGACCACGGGAGGTGCAGCTGTCATGACGACCAGGATGGTGGCAGACTGCAGCCTGGGGGTGAGCAGGAGGACCATGATAACCTAGCCAGGACGGCACCTGACGCCGACACTCCGGGTAAGCTGCACCACACTACCACGAGTCCACATCCACAGTGGGTAAGATGTACCACACTACCACCAGTCCCACACACACACACACCCTAGGTAAGCTGCATCACATTACACATGCCTTTACAAACATGTAAGACGCTAATGAGCCGCGGGTGCCCCAATAGGTTTGACTGATTTGAGGAATTTCCTCCCTCACCCCTTCCCCGGGTAGGGTAAACTCCAGAAGTGGTGAAAATGTTGCAGGGTAAATTTATTTCAAACAAATGGCTCGGTTAAAACAAGAGAGAGATTATATGTCAGAAACTACATCTTTCACACTTCCCCCACAGTGTCTAGATCTTATCAGAATAGCTATCATGTGACGCTGATACATTGCTGAGTAACCGCTGTTGTTTAGAACAAGTCCTGCATTACTTTAATTACTGAGCTTCCTGCACTCGTTGGGCCAAATATTTTTGTGTTTGGGTAAATATTTTTGTTAGTGGGTTTGGGTTTGAGAAGGACATGCCTAGTATAGGCCAGTAGGCCTGCTGCAGTGTTCTTCTTGTCTTATGTTCTTATAACAAGCACATGTTTTAGAGCCAACCAGTCTCGAGTAATATAATACTTTCACATAAATCCATAGTCGTGATATACATTACTTAATAAAGAGAAAATGGTTCGGTAGCAGTTATTTAAAACAGTTATATATATATATATATATATATATATATATATATATATATATATATATATATATATATATATATATATATATATTAATATATATATATATATATATATGCAAGGAATTCGCGAGAGCATGCGAAATATACACAAACACTGATCTCTGGCTGAAGGAGACTCGAACCTACGAACCTTAGGACAAGGTACGCAGTGCTTTACCAATCTACCCACACTGGACAATACCTTGGCGTGTAGCATGCGCTACACGTTTGATCCAAGGCAGCCAGCTTTCAGGGAGAAGGCTTACAGCTTTTCATCTCATCCCCTACATGCATCAGCCTTACTAGAGATTTGAGCAATGCAAGGAATTCGCGAGAGCATGCGAAATATACACAAACACAGTAAGGCTGATGCATGTAGGGGATGAGATGAAAAGCTGTAAGCCTTCTCCCTGAAAGCTGGCTGCCTTGGATCAAACGTGTAGCGCATGCTACACGCCAAGGTATTGTCCAGTGTGGGTAGATTGGTAAAGCACTGCGTACCTTGTCCTAAGGTTCGTAGGTTCGAGTCTCCTTCAGCCAGAGATCAGTGTTTATATATATATATATGTCGTGCCAAGTAAGTAAAACTTGCGATTTTGATTTAAATAGCAACGCACTTCTTGCCGAATAAGGCATGCGAAAATTTGTGTATGCAATAATTTAACAGAGATCATTCTGAACCTAACGAAAAAAATATATATCATTGTGTTTGTTTATTAACAAATTATTGTAAACTTATATAAAATGTATTTAGCTGGATTAGGACAAATTAAATTGCACTTGTTATATAAGGTTAGGTAAGCTTCCTAAGGTTCTTTTGGTACAAAATCATTAATTTTTATATTAACATAAGGGAAAAATGTATCTTTAAATTATAAGAGAAAATTTTATAGAGGACCTAATTTTAAATGAGTTCTGACTAATTGACCAGTTTTACCTATTCGGCACGACATGTGCCGAAGAGTTTAAATTGGTCAATTAGCAAGAACACATTTAAAGTTAAGGCCTTTCTCAAAATTTCTCTTATACCTTTAAAAATATATTTTTTCATTTATGTTCAGGTAAAAAGTATTAATTTTTACACTGAGTCTACCTGGAAGGTATTCCGGGGATCAACGCCCCTGCGACACGGTCCACGACCAAGCTTTCCGGTAGATCAGGGCCTAATCAACTAGGTTGTTACTACTGGCCGCACGTAGCCTCACGTACGGACCACAGCCCGGGTGATCCGGCACTGACTTTAGGTATCTGTCCAGCTCCCTCTTGAAAACAACCAGGGGTCTATTGGTAATTCCACTTATAGCTGGTGGCAGGCTGTTGAACAGTCTTGGACCCCGGACACTTATTGTGTTTTCTCTTAGTATACTTAAGATACCATTACTTTTCACTGAACTTATGTTGCATCACCTGCCAAGTCTTTTGCTTTCCTAGAGAGTGATTTCTGTGTGCAGATTAGGGACCAGTCCCTCCAGGATCTTCCAGGTGGTCTTACAGTACTGGCCATGGTTGTATTAGTGGTTCCGTCTCGTGAGCATAGTTGCACAAGTTGTAGCGTTGTGTTGGAGGAGAGAGTCTTGCGTCTTGTCGATTCCTCTTACATTACGCTTGTATGAAATGTAGAGGCGTAGTGAGTTTTCGGTAGGTAGGGCGGACACAGGCTGGTGGTGGGCGTGACAACATAACTTTAAAATAGGGACCTAGTAACTGCTTTATGCGTTAAGTGAAACAGACTCCAGAGCATGATATAAACATTTCAGGGCATGATATAAACACTACATGGCTTGATATAAACACTCGAGGTCATGATATCGTTCAGAATGAAAATTATACTTTGTTAAGATTAAAGTTTAGGTGAACCGGTAATTAGGTACCTGAGGATACCTTGTTTGTTTAATCATGCAACGAAGGTGTCTGAGGCCACAGTACCAAATCTACTTTTGACACACATTAATAAGTCTAGGTTTCATGAGGCTCAAGCAATCTAGGTTTATTCCCAGTAGTTTCGTGTGGGTTTAAAAGTGGTTTTCATCAGGTTTATGGTTTCGTGAGTGCGCAAGTTCGTAGTAAAAGGTCACGCGACTACTTATAACCTGAGCGAAATGTAAAGTTTGTGTATTTACTTAGCGCAACTTTATTCAAAACATTTCGGTCCTGGGACCTTCACGACTTCAAATACTGGAGTGAAAAAGGTCCGTAGAACGATAAGTATACAGTGAACGTAAATGGACACTTTCGTGTACATTTCCCTTTGAAAGTGTTCTGGAAGATACCAGTCTGGACGATTAACCATAGTGGAAGACAGGACTGAGACATTGAGCTTAGCGTGTAAGATTAATCAGACTGGGCAAGAGGAGTACGATATCAATTATTATACTGATAGTACCTACGCCTGGCCCTACAGGAGGTGGTGCTGTGACCTATCATTCTGTGGTAGGAGCATTAGTGTCCTGGGTGAGTGGCACTAGCACTGTTGGCATCTGGCCTGAACCAACACTCCTCCTCCCTGTGACCTTTCTTGCCACATAGGAAGCAGCCTTGCCTGTTGACTTTCCTGGGCACCACAGTCACGTCTAGTACAGAGCTGCTGCTAGACATACTGATGGTCTCTCCCCTGTGTCTAGGTAGCCTAGTTGAGTAGTAGGAGCTGGTCTCAGACCTGGGACCTGTTAAGCTGCTGCCTGTTCTGTAGTCAGACTGCTTGTACCAGCAGTCTTCCTCTGCCTGTTCTGTAGGGTACCTGGCGTCATCACTGAGTGGTACCATCCTGACCAGGCTTCATACCACTGAAACTGTTAGTACAACCATCAGTGTAAGAGACGACTGTCAGTGTAAGTGAGGTGTCAATGTAAGTACAACTGTCAGTGTAAGAGACGACTATAACTGCAAGTGAAGCAGTGTAATGAAATAAACGTCAGTATAAGTGAAGCCACTGGAGGACACTTGTTAGTGTATGATTGCTGACACTGACCACTTAACACTTGCCGACACTGACCAATTAACACTGAATACGTTATGCTCAAAAGGTCATTTTCCTTCACTAAGATAAGAGCAATTTACGTAACGTAATTTTGAACAGGTGAATAATAATCACTGCCTTGAAGAACGGATATGAATACTAATCACTAGAACAGGTGTCAATTCTAATACACAGAGGCAAGTGTTAACAAACAGAAAAGGTATAAACATTAATCCTTATCTTTAAGAACAGGTGTAAATAACAATCGCTGTAGAAGACGTGCAGTTAGAACAGATGTAAATACTAATCACTGCCAAAAGAACCTTAGAAAACTTAACTAACCTTATTATAACAAGTACAATTTGATTTATCCTAATCCAGCTAAATATATTTTAGATAAATTTACAAAAATTTAATAATGAACAAACACTATGAAGCATATTTTTTTTCATTAGTTTCAGAATGATTTTTGCGAAATAATTGCATACATAAATTGTCGCTTGCCCTATTCGGCAAGAAGTGCGTTGCTATTTAAGCCAAAATTGCAAGTTTTACTTATTCGGCACGACATATATATAATACGGTCCAACTCCATTGTCATATAAAACTTGATACAATTCCCAAATGGACCACAACATTTAGCTTTCATCTCTTTATTCTATGAGATAGTTGTAAACTTGCTCAGCCACATTATGAGTTATTGTTCATGACCTATTTGCTTAGTCTGCGTGTGTCTCAGCAGCACTCTGACCCCAAGTTTCCCTCTGCAGGCTGCCCGCCGCCCTTCGACTACGTTCCGCCGCACTGCCTCACGCTACTGAAGGAGAGAACCCCATGGGAGTCCACTCGTTCTCGCTGTCACAGTCACGTGCAGAGCCTCCTGGGCTCGCAGCTTGGCAGCCGTCAAGTGAGCGGCGATATAGTGGTTCCTCACAACATGGAAGCCTTCAAGAACTATGTCAATTCTATGTACCTGGGTGAGTAACATGGCCCACCTGCTGACCCCTAGCACTACACACCTATAAATACTTGTACTAAAGATTATACACCTTAATTAGCTTGACAAATCCTGGAAGAGAAGTGTTTCTCGTGATTATTGCACGGAGGAGCAAGTCTCCACTCAAACTAACCTAATAAAATTAAAATTTACGAGTTACAGGGAGTGTTGAAAAATTGACGATGGGAAGCGTGTAAGATAATTACCATATTATAATGAAGGTAAATTGAGTATTTAATACAAATACGAAATAAATCTTCAACATTTAGACATAATAACGTTATACAGGAAACAGTATTAGTGTTATATAATTAACATTGAATTTTACACAGGAAACAGTGAGAATGTTCTACAAGAAACAGTAATAGTTTTACATAATAAACAGTGAGTAATACAGAATAATATTAAGAGACTGCTTACTATTGCATGTTAGTAGAGCATCAAACTATCAGTTGCGTGGAGCTCATATCTATATAAATGTCTATACAATAAAAATATCCCAAGAACTACAAATAGCTTTTATTAGAGAGAGAAAAAAAGTTTAATGTGGCATAATACTCATATTTAAAAAAGACACAGGACTTTCTGAACTGCAGACCAATATCAATGGTATGAATATTACCAAAAAATATGGAGAACATTGCAAGAAGATAAGATAAGATAAGATAAGATTTCGTTCGGATTTTTAACCCCGGAGGGTTAGCCACCCAGGATAACCCAAGAAAGTCAGTGCGTCATCGAGGACTGTCTAACTTATTTCCATTGGGGTCCTTAATCTTGTCCCCCAGGATGCGACCCACACCAGTCGACTAACACCCAGGCACCTATTTGCTGCTAGGTGAACAGGACAACAGGTGTAAGGAAACGTGTCGAAATGTTTCCACCCGCCGGGAATCGAACCCGGGCCCTCCGTGTGTGAAGCGGGAGCTTTAGCCACCAGGCCACCGGGCCTGGATTTTAAATCAAAGGAAACCAGCAAGAAGGCAACTCATTCACGTCTAACACATTTATGAGTCTGTGTTAGTTACGGAGATAAAACAAGAATGGGAGAGTTAGGTGGATTGTATGTCTGACTGCAGGAAAGTGTTTGATAAAGCATCTCATGAAAGGTTAATAAATTATTATAAACGCTAAACTCACAAGGGTCATATAGACACGAAAGGTTAAACAGGCAGGAGTAAAGGAGAGTGCGCAGGTAGATCAGGAAAGGCACACACACAGAAACAGTCAGAGAGGAAAAATTAGAATGGTCCGGGGCAACGACTGGGGGGGCACCATAAGGTTGGGAGTCCCATAAGGTTCAGTACTGTGGCCCTTACTCTCTCTGATGTTTGTGAACTATCTAACTGAAGGGAGTGAATCGTGTGTGTACATGTTTATGATGATGAGAACCTCATAAGAAAAACAATGATGGATCACAAATAAACTCCAGGGTGATCCAGGAAGATTATAATACTGGTTAAAAAAAAAAAATGGCTCTTGGAATTCAACCCGAGTAAATGCTAGGTAATAAGGATCGACGAATAATAAAGAGCGGATTTTTGGAGTCAAATACGAAAGAAATATGTCATTAGAGAAACATATAAATACGATAACCTCGGCAGTATATGCGAGGGTGGAAATCTCAGAATACCATTGACGAACCTTGGCAAAGAATCTCTTATGACACTGTACAAGGCTCATCATGGCGTACGCTGCACCACCAAGGAACTGAAATATGATTAATCATGTGAAAAAAACTATACGAGTAGCAGAGAGGTTTGCAACAAGCAATGCGATACCCAGAGAGAGAGACTTAAAAAACTTAACTTAACGATGCTAGGAAGTAGAAGTATGATAAGGATATATAAAATCCTGAGATATCGGCAGAGTAAAGAGTGACAGGCTGTTCAAGAGGAGAGGACCAGGGACAAGGTGGCACACAAGTTAAAAACACAGACGAACCATACAGACATTAAACAGTATATTAGTTTGTTTCAAAAATGGATGATTTAGACGAGGTTGTGGAGGTTTCCTCCAGTTACAGCTTCAGGAGCGTACACGCGCGCACACACACACACACACACACACACACACACACACACACACACACACACACACACACACTCACTCACTCACTCACACACAGGACAAAATGGTAACTAACACACAGTCAGGATCTGTGACTCCACTCCTGCAACTACACAGACACACTGACAGCAGAGGTGATCTGAACAGTTAGTATACCTTGTCATCCTCGGACTTTTGTAGCTGTGCATGATCTATTTATTATTGCTGTCCTAAACATCACTAATGATTTATATTGCTTCACGCTTGCAGGTGGTTCACCGTCAGGCTGGGCCTACGTGGGAGGCTCCACTGAGGGATGGGGAGGAGCGTGGGCATGGGTCGACGGCTCACTGATCAAAGAGCTGCCTTGGCTCTACACCCAGCCGGGCGTGGGCTTCGGCAGGCTGGCTATCGACAGTGACACCAACTTCCACGTCGTTGAGAAGAGAGATTTGGCTCTGTGGGTCTTCTGCCAGCTGAATTAATTCGCCTCGCCGCCAACTCCTACCTAGAACATTAAATACAGTGCCGGTCCCAGTGTCAGCCTTGTGGGACGTCATTCGTCACGCTTGTCGAATCCCCACACCTCTTCACTGACCGTCACTCTTTCTTCCCGCTCAGATATGCCGTTATCATTCCCGTAGCCCCGGCAGAGTCACGTCGTCAGGGTCACCAGGAAACTGAGTGAATTAAACCACGCGGACGGAGCAGATGGTAACAGAACACCAATAACTAGTCAGAAAGACGAGGTTATCATGGCATTAACTTCAAGAGATCACAAGATAACTATCACTATTACGAAGTAAATATAACTTCTACTTCACAACAATCCAAGATTACTTTAATAAACTATATGTTAAATACTATTGTTTTATTTTTGGGGGGATGTAAATGAGCCACACTCATAGTCAAAGTTTTTGTTTTCCAACAGGATGGAGAAAGAGCGGGAGAGTAAGGGGGAAGGGAGGGATAGCAGTTCGAATTATTTATAGATTAAATATACAGAGAAACTGATGTTAGGGAACTCCCTGTATATCTTCAGCCTCAGAGAAACAAACGTCTTCAGCGTCACAAACACCTTCAGCATAACACATGTTCAGCGTCACAAACACATGTTCAGCATCAAAGTCATAAACATCACAAGAGATCTTCAGTAACGATCAAGATCTTAACGTTTTCATTTGAACAAATCTCTCTCATTTAACGAATATTTCACCTATTACAGATCCTCATTATATTTCCACGCGACTATCTTGCTTTAGGTAGCCTCAGTGATGCTGTAGCCTCAGTGATGATGTAGCCTCAGTGATGATGTAGCCTCAGTGATGTTGTAGCCTCAGTGATGTTGTAGCCTCAGTGATGTTGTAGCCTCAGTGATGCTGTAGCCTCAGTGATGCTGTAGCTTCAGTGATGCTGTAGCCTCAGTGTTGTAGCTTCAGTGATGTTATAGCCTCAGTGATGTAGCCTCATTGATGCAGCCTCAGTAATGTTGTAGCCTCAGTGATGTTGTAGCTTCAGTGACGTTGTAGCTTCAGTGACGTTGTAGCTTCAGTGATGTTGTAGCCTCAGTGATGTTGTAGCTTCAGTGATGTTGTAGCCTCAGTGATGTTGTAGCTTCAGTGATGTTTGTAGCCTCAGTGATGTTGTAGCTTCAGTGATGTTGTAGCCTCAGTGATGTTGTAGCTTCAGTGATGTTGTAGCCTCAGTGATGTTGTAGCTTCAGTGATGTTGTAGCCTCAGTGATGTTGTAGCCTCAGTGATGTTGTAGCCTCAGTGATGTAGCTTCAGTGATGTTGTAGCCTCAGTGATGTTGTAGCTTCAGTGACGTTGTAGCTTCAGTGATGTAGTAGTCTCAGTGATGTTGTAGCCTCAGTGATGTTGTAGCCTCAGTGATGTAGCTTCAGTGATGTAGCTTCAGTGATGTTGTAGCCTCAGTGATGTTGTAGCCTCAGTGATGTTGTAGCCTCAGTGATGTTGTAGCCTCAGTGATGTTGTAGCTTCAGTGATGTTGTAGCCTCAGTGAGGTTGTAGCTTCAGTGATGTTGTAGCCTCAGTGATGTTGTAGCCTCAGTGATGTTGTAGCCTCAGTGATGTTGTAGCTTCAGTGATGTTGTAGCCTCAGGGGATGTTGTAGCTTCAGTGATGTTGTAGCCTCAGTGATGTTGTAGCCTCAGTGATGTTGTAGCCTCAGTGATGTTGTAGCCTCAGTGATGTTGTAGCCTCAGTGATGTTGTAGCTTCAGTGATGTTGTAGCTTCAGTGACGTTGTAGCTTCAGTGATGTTGTAGCCTCAGTGATGTTAGCCTCAGTGATGTTGTAGCTTCAGTGATGTTGTAGCTTCAGTGACGTTGTAGCTTCAGTGATGTAGTAGTCTCAGTGATGTTGTAGCCTCAGTGATGTTGTAGCCTCAGTGATGTTGTAGCCTCAGTGATGTTGTAGCCTCAGTGATGTTGTAGCCTCAGTGATGTAGCCTCAGTGATGTAGCTTCAGTGATGTTGTAGCCTCAGTGATGTTGTAGCCTCAGTGATGTTGTAGCATCAGTGATGTAGCTTCAGTGATGATGTAGCCTCAGTGATGTAGCTTCAGTGATGTTGTAGCCTCAGTGATGTTGTAGCTTCAGTGATGTAGCCTCAGTGATGTTGTAGCCTAAGTGGTGGTGTAGCTTCAGTGATGTTGTAGCCTCAGTGATGTTGTAGCCTCAGTGATATTGTAACTTCAGTGATGTTGTAGCTTCAGTGATGTTGTAGCTTCAGTGATGTTGTAGCTTCAGTGATGTAGCCTCAGTGATATTGTAGCTTCAGTGATGTGGCTTCAGTGATGTAGCCTCATTGATGTTGTAGCCTCAGTGATGTTGTAGCTTCAGTGATGTTGTAGCTTCAGTGATGTAGCCTCAGTGATGTTGTAGCCTCAGTGATGTTGTAGCCTCAGTGATGTTGTAGCCTCAGTGATGTTGTAGCCTCAGTGATGTTGTAGCCTCAGTGATGTTGTAGCCTCAGTGATGCCGGAGTTTCAGTGCTGTAACTTTTTCAGTGATGCTGTAGCTTCAGTGTTACTGTAGCTTCAGTGATGTTGTAGCTTCAGTGATGTAGCTTCAGTGATGTTGTAGCTTCAGTGATGTTGTAGCCTCATTGATGTTGTAGCCTCAGTGATGTTGTAGCTTCAGTGATGTAGCTTCAGTGACGTTGTAGCTTCAGTGATGTTGTAGCCTCAGTGATGTAGCCTCAGTGATGTAGCTTCAGTGATGCCGGAGTTTCAGTGCTGTAACTTCTTCAGTGATGCTGTAGCTTCAGTGATACTGTAGCTTCGGTGATATTGGAGCTGCTTTAGTTTCATTTATTTTGAAGCTTCAGTGATACTGTAGTTTCAGTGAATTTCTCATTAAACACAAATTTACAACCCAAAACGTACAGTTTAATCAAATCAATAATCTGATAAGTGTTTAAAGGAAGCTCATATTTTGGAAGGTCTCCTGCATGGAAATCCAACAGGTGATCTAGTGGCAGTTTTTAAACAACGAAGTAACATCAAAATGAGCTTGCAGTCATTAGACAATAAAATCTACAAGTTTATCTATGAGATCAACATTATTTTCAACATACGAAAAAACTGTACCCACAATTGAGGTTGCGGAACGTAGCTACAGAACTTACGAGTTGTCTTACAGGGTTTCCAGCTTTGTATTAATCATCCCATATAAATAGGGAAGAGATGCATTTTTGGGAGAAAATTGATTCATTATCATCCCCTTCCAGAACCTCTTTCAGTTTACTGCTGAAAGAACGAGTAACCTGGTCAAGATGGTTCTTTTTCAACAGTAGATAAGTATCAGAGTCGCTGTTAAATCTTCCATTTTACCATTATAGTCATTCTTTCTCAAAATGAAAATTTAATCAGATTTAACAGCTTTTGAAACAATACCGTGAAAACTTTAGTGGATATTAAAGATTAATTAGGCATATCTGGTTTTAATAAGGCGCCATAAACTATTCCCTTATATAGGTCAATCTCATCTTGTGAGGTATAGGACATTTTCTCTAAATTACAAAATGCACTGGCTATCTCAACATAGTATCATTAGATGAGAAACTCGATCCAAAACCTAGTGCGCATTTAGTGTTTTCATTCAGTTGTTTAGTAGACAAGTTAACAACAGAATTATTAATAGCTTGTCTTGTCCATGTACTTTTTTTATATATTTTATTTAAAACCATACATAAACATGAGGCACAAGAAAATTCAAACAAATGAAAATCCTGACATCGGATATTGAAACAATACCTATTACCATTACATTGTTAACATTATAACAACTATAACCAATACTATATCTGATGCCGAAGCTTAAACTGTCCTAAACTAGATACATGTGTATAAATTAACAATAGTAAAAATGCAACCTAATTCTTCATCAAACTAAGCATTCTATCTCTTAATTAGCTCGGAATTGATATATGTACAGTACAATTATCATTCATTATTTTTTTTTTTTTTTAATTCCTTCTGCTCTGAACACAAGAAAGGAATATAGAATAAGAATGGACCTACATAAATTTAGAAACCTCATATGCAAACCACTACACTAATCAGCACAGGTCTATTGATACATCCCTCTCTTTGAGAATACGTTCAAATTTTTTCAAATAAATTGCTTGCCATAAAAACATTGAACCACCTTGTTATAATAGTCTTGTAATGTCAAAAAGCATTACACCATTATCATAAGTTATACCATCTACCTAAGCCTAGTATTCCTACTACAATATGATTATCGTAACAAACCATAAACCCACTAACTATTCTAAATCGTTGATGTACATATTTACAACGAATAAAAAAAATAAAAAGGAAATCCCACTCTTCTCATTCTAAATATTTCTGACTGTCAGTTCTCCTACATGTGCTAAACAAAGGTAAATATTTCTGACTGTCAGTTCTCCTACATGTGCTAAACTAAGGTAAATATTTCTGACTGTCAGTTCTCCTACATGTGCTAAACTAAGGTAAATATTTCTGACTGTCAGTTCTCCTACATGTGCTAAACAAGGTAAATATTTCTGACTGTCAGTTCTCCTACATGTGCTAAACAAAGGTAAATATTTCTGACTGTCAGTTCTCCGACATGTGCTAAACAAAGGAAAAATATTTCTGACTGTCAGTTCTCCTACATGTGCTAAACAAAGGTAAATATTTCTGACTGTCAGTTCTCCTACATGTGCTAAACAAAGGTAAATATTTCTGTCAGTTCTCCTACATGTGCTAAACAAAGGTAAATATTTCTGACTGTCAGTTCTCCTACATGTGCTAAACTAAGGTAAATATTTCTGACTGTCAGTTCTCCTACATGTGCTAAACTAAGGTAAATATTTCTGACTGTCAGTTCTCCTACATGTGCTAAACAAAGGTAAATATTTCTGACTGTCAGTTCTCCTACATGTGCTAAACAAAGGTAAATATTTCTGACTGTCAGTTCTCCTACATGTGCTAAACAAAGGTAAATATTTCTGACTGTCAGTTCTCCTACATGTGCTAAACAAAGGTAAATATTTCTGACTGTCAGTTCTCCTACATGTGCTAAACAAAGGTAAATATTTCTGACTGTCAGTTCTCCTACATGTGCTAAACAAAGGTAAATATTTCTGACTGTCAGTTCTCCTACATGTGCTAAACAAAGGAATTTTAATATAAAACATACTGACATATTTAACACATTCACATCCACCTTCAATTATAATAATACTTCCATTCAACCAAAAATAATACATTCACCTGTATAACTCCAAGAGTACAGAAAATTTTCCGTTAACAAATCTTAGCAATATTCAACATATTGCCTCCTTCGATAAATACATTAAAAGGAAAAAA